GTCAATAATGGTGACTGGCTAACGATAAAGTGAAGTCGAGATTGTATTATTTCTGGTTACTTTGGTAAAAAGAAAGGAAAGATTAACGTTTTTTTTACCTGGTGGGCTAACGATAAAGTGAAGTCGAGATTGTATTATTTCTGGTTACTTTGGTAAAAAGAAAGGAAAGATTAACGTTTTTTTACCTGGTGGGCTAACGATAAAGTGAAGTCGAGATTGTATTATTAAAAATAGGTAGATTCGTTTAAAATATCTGTGTTTTTTATCGTGTTGACATCTATTAATGTGACTTAGTTTTTTACGTAATTTTAAAATTAGGATTTTCTCTCTTTTTTTCAAACTGCGAAATGGGTTTGTTTGTTTTTTATGCTTACAAATTTTGATAGTTTTGTGTTTTAAATCGATGAATACATCATGTAATTAAATCTTGTTAGTATGGAAAAACTTGGTCTTGACCGTTGTCGCTAGAGTTCGTGTCCGGAGCGGAGCTCAAAATCGTATCAATGTGTTGATATGAGAGAGAAGATATGTCGATTAAAATAACATTTTCTCCCTATTTCACGCGCTTTCAAATATCACATTAGAACACCATGGCAACCAATAATCAAATTAATAATCATGAACTGAAATAAATAAGACGTAGAATTAAAGAAGACATACGTGAACTATCAATGAACATCCTGGTGTGACACACATACGTGAACTATCAAAGAACATTCTGGTGTGACACACATACGTGAACTATCAATGAACATCCTGGTGTGACACACACATACGTGAACTATCAATGAACATCCTGGTGTGACACACACACGTGAACTATCAATGAACATTCTGGTGTGACACACATACGTGAACTATCAATGAACATTCTGGTGTGACACTTTATATTTTGTATATTTTAACCGTCCCCCCCCATCTCTCCCCATTTACCATTCTCTCGTCTAAATGTTACCGGCAACACGTCGACTTATTTAAACGATTCTGATTGCCTGTTTTGTAACTTAATTATTATAAATATTTTTATAAAACCATACCGAATCTAAAGCAAGTAATTTTTTATCCCGTGTTTTCTTAAGTTTTTTTTTTTTTATCTACAGCTTGCGCGTGCCACAGATTCGTATACGAGTTGGTGAGTACGACTTCTCCAGCGTTCTCGAGCCATTTCCGTTTGTTGAACGAAGAGCAAAGAAAAAAGTTGTACACCCCAAGTATAACTTCTTTACGTACGAGAATGACTTAGCCCTGGTGAAGCTCAACGAACCGGTGGAATTTAAGCCTCATATCGCACCCATCTGCCTGCCTGATGATAATGATAACCTGGTGGGGCATAACGCCACCATTACTGGCTGGGGGCGTCTTAGTGAAGGTGCGTTTCGATATCCAGAGCCTCAGAAGGTCCGCAATATTTGTAAACCTGACGTTTTACACTTCTCTGAACAACTTTGGTCAGGTAGCTTTCTGACAGTGATGGTCACTACTTGGACGAACATTGACATATTGTAGACCAGTATGGTCACTGTTTTGGCAAACATTGACATATTGTAGACACGGCTGGTCACTACTTGGACGAACATTGACATATTGTAGACCAGTAAGGTCACTGTTTTGGCAAACATTGACATATTGTAGACACGGCTGGTCACTACTTGGACGAACATTGACATATTGTAGACCAGTATGGTCACTGTTTTGGCAAACATTGACATATTGTAGACACGGCTGGTCACTACTTGGACGAACATTGACATATTGTAGACCAGTATGGTCACTGCTTTGGCAAATATTGACCTATTGTAGACACGGCTGGTCACTACTTGGACGAACATTGACATACTGTAGACAAGGATGGTCACTACTTTGACGAACATTGACATATTGTAGACCAGTATGGTCACTGCTTTGGCAAATATTGACCTATTGTAGACACGGCTGGTCACCACTTGGACAAACATTGACCTATTGTAGACAAGAATGGTTACTACTTTAATAAACATTGACATATTGTAATCACGGATGGTCACCATTATTTGTTAATATTATTGAACACTGTAGACACAAACAGTCACCATTGTTGAGACACTGTAGACACAAACAGTCGCAATTATTGACGAACATTGAGATATTGTAGACACAAACCACCAGGTAAAAAAAACTTTAATCTTTCCTTTCTTTTTACCAAAGTAACCAGAAATAATACAATCTCGACTTCACTTTATCGTTAGCCCACCAGGTAAAAAACGTTAATCTTTCCTTTCTTTTTACCAAAGTAACCAGAAATAATACAATCTCGACTTCACTTTATCGTTAGCCCACCAGGTAAAAAACGTTAATCTTTCCTTTCTTTTTACCAAAGTAACCAGAAATAATAGAATCTCGACTTCACTTTATCGTTAGCCCACCAGGTAAAAAA